TTGTTGTCTTTCAATGGGAGGGTGGCGAGGGGTGAGTTAGTTTGTTTGTGTGTTTGTTTTTATGTGACAAGTGTAGAATTTATAATTATTAGTTTGTTGTTTTTTCTTTATTTTTTTTAATAATTAATTTCTTTTTTATTTTATTTTTGTATTTTCATATGTCAGCAAATTGTTCAAATTGTTATTTTTTTATTTTATTTTTTGTTAATGTTTAATTAGTTATGTATGTATATATATTTTGTTTACTCCTGCTTCTTGACTATTAACAATGCGTATGAGTTTATTTTGTTTCGGATTTTTTAAAATGATACATAAACTAAATTAATTTAATCTTTAATTAATTTAAGAAAATATAATATGTATATATATATAATATAAGAAAATATATATATATATAATATAAGAAAATATAATATATATAAGAAAATAAAAGATAATAATAAATATAAAAAAATAATTAAAATATGTGTTTATGGATAAATATACTATAGATTTGAAATTAAAATATAATTAAAAAATAAATTACCCTGTGCAACACAAAAAAATAATTACCAGGAAATTCCAACAGATTATGAAAGAGGGGCTAAAAAAGAAGACACGTGTATCGGCGTTTTGAAAGTTTACCCTGGGAGGTAACCTAAAAAGGGGGACAATATTCCTCCTTTTCAAGAATTTTGATAATTTTCGAATTATGATTTCTTGAAATCCTTGCATTTTATATATATAGTGTCTTAGGCAATATTACTAATAAAATATCGAAGAATATTTTGGTACACAAGTTTAACCCTCAACCGACTCTTTTCGGTCCCCTTTTTACAGAAGTGATTGAAAACTCATTAAAAACGGGGTTAAAGCTGCTCAGAATATGTTACAGGTATGTTCGCCATAACGTTTTACTATAAGTCTCAGAATAGACTATAACTAAAAAATCAGCCTAAACATCAAAAATCTTAAAAAAAATCAAAAACTCATTTTAGCCCTAATATCTGCTAAAGCTGCTAAAATTGTGAATGGTGTTTATGGTTCCAATACTGTAACAGCCAATTATGTGCAATTTTAGTTTCGTAGATTCGGTTGAGGAATTTTTGATGTTAAAGATGCTCCTCGCACAGGTAGGTCGATAGTCGAAAATGTCGATAAAATTGGAGAAATGATCGAAGTTGACCGGCATGTTAGCAGTCGTAACATCGTCCGGGAGCTAAAAATCGACCATAAAACAGCCAGAATTGGCCAACAGGGAAGGTGTGTCGTGTTCCACCAGGACAATGCTAGGCCACATACATCTACAGTGACTCGCCAGAAACTTCGGGACCTTGGTTGAGATGTTTTAATGCATCCGCCATACAGTCCGGACTTGGCATCAAGCGATTATCATATTTTTCTTGCATTGCAAAAATTCTGTAATGATAAAAATTGGTATCTACAGAGGATTGTGAAAATCGACTACTCGAACTTTTTGCAAACAAACATCTTTGCAAGCAAACATCGGAATCAAAGAAACGGATCGGAATCTGGAGTAGGTAAAACAAGAACGATCGGAATGGAAATATGAAATTGAAACCATTCCGTTCGGAATCTGTGACATGCCTGTATAACTTCCTTTTAAAACTTGTGTCAAAATTTGCCAAACCTTTGACACAAAAAAAATCAATTTCTCAGTCTTATACCGTCGACAGACGAGGGCGTTAAAGCTTCCTGGTTTTAATTAAATTTTTACCCTAACCAACGAAAGATTATGCATTTAGGACGATAAATACGAAAAAAATATTAGAATATCTTCTAATATTTTTTTTTTTAATTTACATCTGGATGAATTCTATAAAAGCAGCTAGAACATTGAAACACATCTGAAATTTGCCTTTGTTATAGACTTTACAAACATAAAAAATTGACAACAATCAATTGTCACATTGATTTTGATGTTGGCCATTAACAACACATGTCTACGCAATTAATCTTTTCACTAATTAGAATTTAATATTCAATCTTTTATTCGAGAATGTCATCTACCATTCGGTAGAATTCAAATTATCCAAACGATGGCATTCAAATTGTGGCCACTTCGATTAACATCCTATGGAAAGGATCTTCAAAATACTAATGCTCATATTGTAGATATATCCTTCTACCTACCTGTATAAAACCCGAACTCAACTTACCACTTTAAATAAATTTCCAAAATTTGTGTCCGATAATAGGACATATTAGTTATGAAAATAATAAAATCTCACATTTTTACTGTTATAAAACATCGGACGAAATTGTAATTAATTCCGTAGCCGAGCGATAATGGGGGCTACTACAATACTCAGCTGATTTGATTGTATCGTAATACTCGTGTCAAGTTTGAGAGGACATTTTTGATTTACCCAGTAGGAAAATTGTGTACACATTATATTTGAAATAATAAATTTTCATATGTGGGCTTTATATATAAAGGGAACCAGAAAAAATATAAATTCGCAAGATTTTTATTCATTTTTTTTTTTCGATTTTATTCTAAAAAATGCAAAAATATTACATTTTGAAAATAAATCATGCCCCAATCACACACACTTTCTATTTCTGGCCGTCCAGCGCACATAAACTAGTCATCGATACGTCAACTAAGAATGGTAGTCATAAACGAAGATTGATCTTCAAGAAAAAAAAACCTAAGAGCGAAAATTGTTTATAAGAAGATCTCGTTTTTATACAACAGCCATCCAAAAAGGATTCATTGATATTTTTAGACGGTGTCTACATATGATGTATGGTCCTATACCTTCTATTTTAATAGAAAGGAGGAGGAGGACCCGCCTCCAGTATTTAAAGAATAAAAAAAAAAGATTCTAAGCGTCCTATTTTATTTAATATTAAAATAATCGGTACAACGTGTTTCCCTCCATTTTGTAATAATTCCAAACGACCCGAGTCTAACTCGGCCAACTTCTGTCACCTCAGCCCATTGTGTAAAAGCAATAGCACTTCAACAATAACAACCCGTTGCTCGCCTCTATATTGTTTGTGTTATCCAATATAAATATAAGTGTTGACGTTCGATGTAGCACAGCAAACACTACCCTATAGATTTAGAACCCCCACAAGAAGTCCATACGTCTGGGTCGGAACTTGTACACAGATCAACCTTTCAAAACTGTAATTCGATAATTACAGTTGTTCGTCAAAATCATGAAACCATCGAACCCAACAAGAAATACACCTGAAACTACGAATTCGGTTTTAATACCCTTTCAACAATTCGTTTAAGAATTCACATGTAGTGCCGCCCTTTAGAAATTGGTCGAAGTATTTACGGAAAATTTTTGGTGTTTTCAAACTAAAATTAACAAAAAAATCGTCATAATCGGACATACATGATTGGTCCTTGCATCATTGATTACAGATAAATAACCTCAATCAGCATTTATCTGGACTTCTGTTTGCATTATCTTTGCCAAAACTATGAATCGAACTATGAATGTCGTTGTGGTTTCCGATATCATAATCTAAAGCTAGTCAATTCTGTCTCGGCTCGGTATTCCAGTTTTTAACCATATATGACAGAGGCATAATGAGTTTCATTTTGAAAAATGTATTCTTTGAAACGGATTTTATCCAACAATACTTCGTAATTTGGTTTGATGTTTTTATAAAGATTGGGCCAAAACGATTGTCTCGCACATCATACAAGCTGACATTCAGAAATCGGCTCCATAGTATCTAAAATTAATTTCATCCAATTATATATTGGGTATTTAAAATCCCCATTAAATTTGCTTATATTCAAATCAAATAGAAACCCCCTTCCTTTCACCTCCGGACAAGGAACACTCTATGCAAAAAAAAATAATGAAATTGATTATTTTTTGTTTGTTTTGATAGTAATCACATTTATATGTACATAATGTTTCATTTTATTATTATTAAATTTTAAATATTGAAAACAAAAAAATGTATTAAATAAGATTTTCTTTTTTTCCAAATGAAAAAAACAGATTGCAGATTAAATAATTTAAAATGAAAAACAGACAATTCAATGAGATTTTACAAAAATTAGAAACAATGGAAGAGAAGAAATAAATAAAAAAAGGAAACACATTAAAAAAACACGTTATGTGATGACGGCACAAAAATCTATGCGATTTGTAATAAAAAGGAAAAATGAGGGCACTAAATATGATTTACATTTTTTTTTCAAAATTATTTATTTTCATTTGAAATATAGTATGACCTTTTCCCCTTTTTTACAAAACGCCTTGATTTCCATTATCATCACATAACAAAACCTTGTAAAAGAGAAAAAGATATGGGATTTTCATTGAAAATGCTCTGTGGCGTGGAAAAATTTACACTTTAAAAGTAAATACGACAAATGTTCAACAAACATATCTGTTTTTCTTGTTTTGAGTGAAATAAAATATTAAGTGAAATAAAAATTTATTATTTCATGTTTGAGAGTTATGGTTTTTTTTTAATAATAACAAGGACAAAAAGAAATTATGAACATTTTTCTTGTTTTTTATTTTATTTTTTTCATCATTTATTGTTTTCTTTTATGTTTTTTTCTTCTTCTTACGCCTCATCTTCTTCTCGTTCTTCTTCATCTTTTGTTTGTTTTGCCATTCCTGGGGGGTTTTATTTTTAAGTGCTATTTGTTTTTTATATGTATAATAATTATTATTATTTTTTATTTGTTTATAGGTTATGTTCTAAAGTCTAGACCATGTCTGCTAACACACAATCTGTCCACATTCAGTATCGTTCTTGCTCTTCCTACTCTTCCTTTTTATCATCAATATTATATCAATCATAAATTTTGCATTACATCATTTTGCTTTTTTTCTGTTTTGTTTTTGTTTTTATTATTATTGTAGTTGTTTTTTTGTTTTACTATTTATTATACTGCACTTATACAACAATTTTAGAATTTCCATTTTTTTATTTTTTTCGGTTTTTTGTTTTTTTAATTTATTATTATTTCAGCATAAATAGCTTAATATTCTGTTCTCAATTTCGAATTTTATTTTTTTCTTTTTTGTATTATATAAAATAATAATAATTATATTTATAATAATAATTGTTATTATTATATTTTTTGTTAATATTCTTCTTCTTCTTTTTTGTTTATTTATATTATTTTTTGTTTTTATTACTGTAGCAAAAGCTGTTTTTTTCAATCAAGTCTGCTGTTAGACTCCAGACTTGAGTTGTTATTTCTTCTTCTTCTTGTTCTGTTAACGTGGGATGGATGGGATATGGGGGGGGTTGTTTGCTTGGTTTTTTTGGAGGAAAAAGAGAAAAGTTGGTTTTTGGCCTTGTCTACACATGTGGTTGTTGTTCCTTACTGCTTGTATTGAATTTATTTTTTGTAACATTATCTGTATGAATTTCTTATAATAGATGAGTTTTGTTTTTCAATCTAAAAATTACTTTTCAATTTCTTTCCAGTTGATTTTTTTTATGTTTATGTTTTAAATGTAAATGAGTTTGTTTGTAGTTTTGTTTTGTTTCATTATGTTCATTTTTATTTGTTGGTTTTTTTTATTTTTTGTTTAATTAATAATTAAATAGGCATAAGTTAAATCATATTAGAAGTTGTTGCATACACGACGACGACGACGACAATGAACGTACGTGCCCACCTTGGCGGCTGCTGCAGCTTTATTTCCTGTTCCAGGTTCGTTTTGCTTTCCTTTTCAGCAGCTTCCTTGGCATCTAGGCAGGCTACTACACTTAGATCCTGTTCCTTGTTCATACTTCCGCGTTCTTCGTTCTTCTTGGTAAGGGGGTTTCTTGTGTATGTAGTATTTATGTGTGTTGTTTGTTGGTTTCTTGTTGTTGTTGTATAGCTCGTTTCTTAAGATTTAATTGTTTTTGTTTTTTATATTTTACTTTTTTTCTTGTTTTTATTTTCAATATATATATAATAGATAGATTTTTTTGTTTTCATCTTTTTTTAGGTTTCTCTGTAACAGGCGCTCTACGCTCTATTTTTTATGATGTTTGTTTTTGTTTTTTGTTTTCTTGGTTACCTAATAGGCTTATAACAGTTTTTTTGTTTTTCATATTTTTTATTTTGTTTTCTTGTTGAATTAATACGATTTGTTTTTTATTTGAATATTTCCTGATGTGATCGTGTTGTTGTTTTCTTTTGTCGTAAATTATTCTTATTCTCTTGTTGTTGTTGTTGCTTTAATGTTATAATTATTTTTGTTGTTGTGGTGTTGAGTCATCATCGGCATTCTCATCATCATCATCATCCTCACTCAGCCTGTATTCTCAAATCAACAACACAATAATGATGAAGCAGCATCAGCGTCCGTCTTTAGTTCTCTACCTTATCCGCCTTGATTTTGGCAAAGGGATTAACACCGGCCGCAGCTTGCGCTGAACTGCCACCGCTTAACGCTGATTTATTATCGCCAGCCGCTCCCAGGGCATTGGCGGTGGCAGCTCCGCCGGCACTGCTACTATTCGATTGTTGCGAATTTGTGTTCTGCTGCTGTTGTTGACTGTTGGCGCTGTTGCTACCGCCGCCGACTGTTGTTGAGGCACCACTAGCATTTGTTGTTGGATTTGCTGCCTGTAAGCTCTTGGTACGATTGAGCTCCAATTCGTGTAGTTTCTTCCATAGCTCTTCACGATCTCTTTCGCGTTTTTTCTCTCTGTAAAAAGAAAAGAGGAGAGGGGAGAATTAGCAAAAGAAAAATAAAATAAAAATTAGTTAAATTATCCATGGATATGTTATCTATATACATGAAATTTCAATAATTTATCTGCAATCGTAGAGAATTAAAATCGGAATATTTTTCCACAGTTGTGCTAATTTATCTAAAGATAATTTGGATATTTTATCTAATAACAATTGGAAGAACTTTACTATAGATATTTTGAAAATGTATCTAAAGATAATTTGGATAATTTATCTAAAAATAATTTGGATAATGTATTTATAGATAATTTGGATAATTTATAATTAATTTGGATTATTTATCTATATATCTATATAAATAAAAAATAATTTGTATAATATATCAACAGATAATATTAATAATTTATCTATAAATAATTTGGATAATTTATCTATAGATAATTTGGGTAATTTATCTATAGATAATTTGGATTATTTAGGTAAAGATAATTTTGATAATTTGCATAATTTATCTACAAATAATTTGTATAATTTATCTATAATTAATTTGTATAATTTATCTATAGATAATTTGCATAATTTATCTATAGATAATTTGGATAATATAAATAATTTGGATAATTTATCTATAGATATCTTGAATAATTTATCTATAGATAATTTGGATACTTTATCTATAGATACATTTGGATTATTCATCTAAAGATAATTTGTATAATTTATACACAAATGTGGATAATTTGGATTATTTAGGTAAAGATAATTTTGATCATTTGCATAATTTATCTACAAATAATTTGTATAATTTATCTATAATTAATTTGTATAATTTATCTATAGATAATTTTCATAATTTATCTATAGATAATTTGGATAATATAAATAATTTGGATAATTTATCTATAGATATCTTGAATAATTTATCTATACATTTGGATACATTTGGATTATTCATCTAAAGATAATTTGTATAATTTATACACAAATGTGGATAATTTAACTCCAGATAATTTATCCACAAACCTTAAACAATTTAACTATAGATAATTTATCTACAAACGTGGATAATTTACCTCTAGATAATTTTAACACAAGCGTGGATAATTTATCTCTATATATATATATTTTTTTTTTAATTTATCACTTATATGAACATAAGTTATATTCAGATAATTTTAACACAAGTGTGTATAATCCATCTCCAGATAATTTGTCCTTAAACGTGGATAATTTATTTCTAGATAATTTATCCATTAACACCAATAATATAAATCTAGATAATTTATCCACAAAAGTGGATAATTTAAATATAGATAATTTATCCACAAATGTGGATAACTTATCTTCAGATAATTGTAACACAAGTGTGTATAATCCATCTCCAGATAATTGTAACACAAACGTGGATAATTTATTTCTAGATAATTTATCTACAAATGTGGATAATTTATTTTTAGATAATTTATCTATCCAAAAATGTGGATAACTTATTTCTAGATAATTTATCCACAAACGTGGATAATTTAACTACAGATAATTATCCACAAAAGTGGATAATTTAACTATAGATAATTTATCCACATACGTGGATAATTATCTCTAGATCATTTTAACACAAGCTTGGATAAATAACTTCAGATAATTTTGAAAGATATTATTTAAAACCCCACGCTTTAGATAACCCTTGAAAAAATAAAATTTCTATGCATTGGGAAAAATCTCTAGCTCTGATAGGAAAAATCTCTAGCTCTGATAGATAAAGTATTCAATACTTGATCTGTGGTTCGACACTTACTTTTGCCTCTCCGCCTTATAACTGGAGGTAAGTTCATCGAATAATTTCGAATTCATTTCCATAAAAGTCTTTAATACATTATAGACTAATGCCACAATTGTTTGATTCCAGTGTTCTTTGCTAATGCGATATAATGCCGGGAACATAATGGGCATTATAACGGCATTGTTTTCTTCAATTAGGGACATAGCATATTCATTGTTCCACAGATAAAGAGCACGCTCGGCAACCTGGAAAAATTAACACAGTCAGAAATAAGGACCTCTCGTATGATAATTTGGAACTCACCTGAAAATGAGGACTCGATACACATTTGGCGATTTGACGAAATAGTGGTTCTTGAATTTTGACAAACTGAGGTGGATCAATAACATCGAGTATTTCCTCAATTTCACCCAAAAACATGACTTCCTTTTGCGAACAGGTCTTTGGCCAAAATTTCAAAAGGCCTCGTACAACCGGCTCCGTTAAAAACGGATCCTTTTCGAGAAATTGTACAATACAATAGGCCAACTGAGCATGATACAGCGATAGGCATTTCACTTTGTGCAAAGGAAGCAACACCTTAACTAAAAACTGTTTATGTTCGGCTTTAAGCGGTAGAGCGAAACCATTGATAATGCTGCAAACAAAAATAATCAAAATTATTATGGTATTTAAATACAAAATCTATCTGTTGTTGTCTTACCTTCCCAGAATTTCCAGTAATTCACCGACACCATTAAAATGCTCCGTTTCATAGATAAAACGCAAAAATATATTATTGATTTGCTTTCTTATAAATGCTCGTAAACCTAAAAATTTGCCATAAATACGATGCAAGACCGTTTTCAAAAAATCACGTTCACGTGGATCTTCCGAATCGAAAAGTTCCAAAAGCTAAAAAGAGACAATGAA